TGAAGCATAATATCGTTATTGCGAACGAAAAACATAATTGGAGAAGCGCTCTGATTGTCGCGTAAGATTTTTTTCCTTGTTCAAAGAGCATCTTTTTCTAAATATGACTCACGGCATTAACGGGAAATTAACTCATGCCAAAACCCTAATAATGGCTGCTAAGGTCGACTGTGATGAATCTTTAATTTCAAAATTTTTTTCTATCGTTTCTTTGAATGAATTATAATGAAAATATAATATATTTTCCAGTAGGTGGGTACAGCTATCTATAGTCTTTACACGCCATCAACAAAATATCATAACTTTTAGAAAGAGTTAACATTATAATAATACGTTTAAGTTGCATCTGTTTTTAAAATGAATTATTGATTTAACTCAATACAAAAATTAATATTAAATAAAAAACCGACTCTCATTTTCTTGGTGATATCTCAAAAATGCTACTGTTGGTATTTTTTCTTTAAATTCTAATTATGAATTAAGCATGATTAAGGCATGTAGAAGTTCTTATTACCTGAAACCATTTGTATGTGTAGCTATGGAACGTTTAGCTCGTTACATGCCAGCTGCAGGCGTTGGCCCAGCGTTCGTGTGATGCGTTCATGCTTCGTTGGCCCAGAAATTCTGGCTGATGGATGCTTGGAGGGCTGCCCTGCACGACACCAGGCCTAATTTCACCCTTCTTTTCACCCTCACCCTTCACACCTTCTTTCTTCCTTTATCTCACCAAAGTTATTAATGTTGCTCTAGAATACTTAGTATCGTTAGAAATTGAAAGTTTAACTGTTCAAAGTAAGCAACCTAAAATGAATCTTATTTCCTACCCGCTTGTTATGAATACGTAAAAATGATTTCCTAATTGTATTCTAAGCTCCGATTCCTTCTACTAATCATCTTGAAATTAAAGTAAACTTCTGTAAGTCCTTCATACCAGGCAAATGGGTCTTAAATGACTTCGATTTAGAGTTGGCTATGTTGAAACAACTCGCAATCAAGTTTATTTCAACGTCAGATGACTGATAAGCGTTTTCTTATTTCTATCTCAATTCAATCTTCATCATTCCTGATTTTTTTCAATAACTTTCCCCCTGCGCAGTTCATCTTTCCTCTGGGATGGGGCCCAACACAGTACCCGCATTACGGCTACTCGAGGCACGAATGCATCCATCTTACTTTTGAAGTGAATTTTCATCAACAAATATGGCCCTCGAATGGAGCCAAGGTGCACCCGCATTGCGCGTCGACTCAATCACGTCCCACGAGACTCCGATAACTTACAGCGTTGATCGAACGACGCGGTCTCGACACGCCAGTCTTTTACGACTGCTCTCGAGACTGCGATAAATTATCATCGGCAAAACTTGCCTCGAGCAAGCCATCAGTCGAGACGCCAAACTTGGCTCCTCGTTATGATATCGCTGTCAAAATAAGAAGGAGATTTCTCCTGCAAGGAGAAAGCTCCTTATTAACTTCACTGCGGCAAAGCTTTACTAGGTACTGGTAATTCGACGAAGAAAAAACTTTTCGTATTCCTTTGAAATTATCACTTGGGATATTAATTGTTCTCTTCTCACACATTTCCAGCCTCACCATCCGATTTTTTTTAGCATTTTCAAAATATCATTCTTAATGAGATCAACATTCTTAATTCCGCATTATTATTTTTTCAAAACAGAGAGAACATCTGCTATTGTGATTTGATAATTGTTCAAACATCAACTCAATGAAAATCGACGCTCAGCAAAGGCAAACCATCATTCCTGCTCCTTAATGCCCCTCTCTCTTCCACCTCTCTTTCCCTTTATTTTGTGGAGCAGGCATTACAGCCGATGCCATTTCTAAATTTTCTTTCAAATATTGTAAACTTACTGTTGCATCCATATTCATTCGAAGCAGATATTCCCCGCCCATAGCTGAGCAGATTCCCACGAAAATCACTTGTGTGTTTGATGATTTTAAATGTAAGTTCTGTGCATTTTTTATTTTATTTGCTGAGAATTGCGGAAACACACCAGAAAATCACAGTACACATGTCTAATCCAGCGAATATACATAGTTGTACATAATTGTACAGTACAGCATACATAATTCTACATAAACATAATTTACGTGCAATATTATTTCATCAAATCTGGCTTGTTAAAATTTTAAGACACAAGTTCACTGAATAAAAAAAGTGCGACAAGAAATAAAACTCGCGTAAAATTTTATACTCATAAAACAAACTTCTATCAAAACTTCTATCAACGTTTTGCAGTGCTTGCAAAGAGCGTGGAAATACAAACTGAGGAATTATTTAAAAAAAAGCCTTGTTTACGAAACATCCATGAAAAATCTGGTATCTGTACGAGAAACGTATGAAAAAATGAAAAAGTAAAGGCTTCAAACACTCATACAAACGCAAAACGCTAGGAATTATCATATTGATAATTGTCTACTAATTCTCGGCCAGCTGATAGCCCCGAAATACACTTAAACTACTAATTTAATGGATAAGTGTGCTCCAGCTTGCGCCCCTCGATGCACTGTAAAAGTGCAATTTGGAAAGCGCTGTCTGCGCGTTGGATCCAAGTTTTCCTTCTCTTTGAAGTCATCAAAGCAGAAGCGCTCGTGAAAATATCCCCTTGCATTTCACGTGAATTTATCTACAGACAATAACTCCACTACCTATAGATTAAATTGCCATTTGTTCTTAACGGCGTCTTAATTATTTTAGGTTCACATGGGTTGAGCCGTGCTCTCCTCAAGTTTACTTCTTATAATAAATAAAACTATCTGATTTGCTTACAAATACAGTTTAATTCTTCTAAGTAAAAATATAATAAAAACTTGTTATATTTATTTCAACGGAATTTCTTGACTTAGCGCTAGCCTGCCTCAAAATTAAATTATCCAAAGTTTCGAGCTAAAAACTATCAAGCTTGTAAAATAAAGTGGAGAACAAGTTGAAGTCACCGCTTTTAGACCTTTAAAATACCTTTTTCCAATCTGCTCCGTGAAGTTTATGGATTACTACCATTCTTACAAAATAATTTTTTGCCAATTTTTTCTTATCTATTCACTATAGATGTATTAGGTCAAGGAAACAAGCCTCCTCAGTGGCTGCCTTTGAGTCTACATGTCATGCCAGTGTTGCCCCAACATCGCAGTTTATGAGCATCCTATCTTGTGTTTACGACCAATCTTGCGCTCATGCTTCGCGTCCTCTACGTCGCCAGCGCATCATATTTAAGCCACAAATGCCCGATAAGATAATTTCTACTATTTGGCATCTGCGCTTCAGATTTAAAAAACGGGTGCGGCTTGTAAAGCGCTTTCCGATTCCGTTTTAATTAAGTTTACTTGCAGAATAATGCGGGTTGATTTGTGGTTTTGTTTGGGTATCTGTGAGCATTGAACAGAAGACACTAAGTACTCGTCAATTCAAAAAGTTATGCTTAGGGACGCCAAAGTTTCTGCTTACTGTGGCTGAGTTCTGTTCTCAGAATCCCGACGTAGAGCGGCGTTCGCAACTAATGTCAGCATTTGCGGACCAGACCAAAGTTCCGGAATTTCATTGTGCGCTTCTGGAGGGTTCTGACGTCCATAAAAGTGCTTCCGGGACGACATTTCAAGATGCGACCCAACCTCTGCACTCATTTGCGCGATACTTAGAATTCTTGATGTCGTCTATTCTGAGATGCGTTTGTGTGCGTAGATAAACAGAGAAGCTAACTTGGATAGAGGAGATTCAAGAAAGGAATTTGCCTAAAAGCAAGGAAAAAGACTAAATTTTTTAGTTAGAAGAAAGAATTCGCCTGAAAATGTGTTTAAATTGTTGTTTGAAGACGTGGAACTCGTGTACAATTTTCCTTTTTGTTCCGAAAATATTACTCGATGTGTTTGCAAAGGTTCATGGTTTTGGTTTTATACTTGCTTAAAAGAATCGTGAAAAATGTATTGTTTTTTTTTTCTTTATATTTCATTGCGTTTCTTAACTTATAGGACTGGTATTTATACAACAAAAGAACAACGTTCCATAAATTGAAGTTTAGACCAATTTTGAAATTTATGGGATAAATTTTTTTTTAAATGTTATAATTATCTATTTCACTGTTTCCCTGTAGATTTTTTCACGAGCCTACAATAATCTTTCTAAATCTGCCCCATGTGTGGCAGCTCTTTGAGGTTTCGAATAACATTTTTCTTATTGCTGCACACTCATCCCTTTCACCCAATCTACCGAACTCTAGTTCTTCAAATGATAACTGAATATCAAGTTTTCTGTCTTTTTGAGTGTTATGTAATTGAAAATCAGCCGGAGCGACAGCGCAACCAAATACTCGAACTTTGTGAAACTCAAGTTTTAGAATAATTTCTAATACGCTTCATGCCTTTGTGATACTTGAGCTGTTGGAGAATTTCGTAACAATCTATCATAACTTACTTTTCTTGGATAGATTTCCAAATGCACGCATTATTTGTCTTCTTCACTATTCCCCGATGTAAATGCCACACAATTCTCGATACACCTAGGGCTTTATTCCTCAAGCAACACTCTCCATCGATCAAAGCGTCACCCAATACTCGGTCTTTGTTGGGCTTTAGACCGCGAGCAACACTCCGGATCAAAGCAACTCTTCCCTCAATCTAACTTTGTCGCGCTTCCAAATCCCCGCTCAATGATGAGAGCTTTGCGGCGAACGAGTGAGTGGCCGCTTCAGATTCCCGCGGCTGTGCAATAAAGACCGTTCTTTCACCTTTATGCAAGAGGGGCGCTGCTCCTAATCTCTCAGAAAAATTTTCTTTGTGTATTAAGATAATTGTGGTCTAGTATAATTGCTCATTTATCATAACATCAACTAATGAATTCTCCTTCATTATTCAGCGCACATGACGATTGGTTTTAACTTGCCTTGTGATCATGTTATTGATATTAGCTTCTTGTCGCCTTCAATACTTGATTCTCTTAGCTTCTTGTCGCCTTCAATGCATCACTAAGATAGCGGTGTACTCCACAGGCACAGCGGCCGCGGTGCCCGCAGAGTGCCGGGGCTGAACAGTGCGTGCGACATCATCTCGGTCACCAGAGAGCCCCCGGATAAGTCCATTGGTCGCACCACCTCTCCCAGGTACTTCATCAAATTTTCCGTACCTACCTGCTGAATCTCCCACTTTTTGTATTTGTTCATTCTGCCAATTTAATTTTATTTATTTCGTCACTTTTGCTTTGTAAAGGACTATTTTTCTCGTTTAAGTAGTTTTTTTGCGCATATCGTCAAGGGTCTTCTGAACATAGGTTGCAAAATAAAAGACGCAGGTAAACGTGTAATTACCCTGGTGTACGAAAATTAATGAGCTAAACTTTTGATTAAATTGAAAAATGAGCTAAACTTTTGATTAAATTGAAAAATGAGCTAAACTTTTGTATAAGATGATTTTAATTTACCCGTAAATTTACTAATAATTTTTCAGACAAGTTCATCCGGTTGAGCAAACGCAATTTGTGCCTTACGACCCAAACGACCGATGCAACGGATGTTCCGTCACCACCGACTCTCCATCCTCAACCTTAGACCCAAACTCGAACAGCAAACCTGGGGCGGAACGTTTCATCAGGAACAACGTAAACTCGTCCCTGAGACGAGACCAAAAAGATGGCTTACCTAGCAGAGGAAACTGTGATTCTGTTCATCCAGGATACCCAGCTAGAAGAGCTCAGGAACTTGCTGGTCATATTGGCTACTTGAGCATGGGGAGAGGCTATCCCACCACACCTAACCTTGTCATGAAGCACGGCAAGGTTGAAATACTGGGACAAGGTAATACATACACTGCTCCAGTTTTACCACACACATTTCCCTTGTGTGCTAGCTGCAAAGCAGTGGCTGTGGAAGTTTTATTGTCGTTGCGTAATTCAAATTTTGGTTCATAACATTCCTTCCATGTAGTTATATCAAAATTTGTTGTGTAAAACTTTAATGGTAAACACCAGCGTAAATTTTTTTTCACTAGTTTGCATTAAGTTTTGAATTTTTTCAAGTTTTTAAGGAATTATTGAGCTAATTTGAAGAAAACATTACAGCTCTATTTCCATAACTCGTATCCTATGTATTTTGAGCCTTATGCCAAGGACATTGAGATTTTCGATTGTTTGATTTATTAGGATTTTTTCGAGTATATTTCTTGGTGTTTTTGTAGTCTCTGAACTAATAACATTATAACTGTTGCCAATTTCTTGCTCTATTAATTTTGCAGGGCCTCCTGAACACAATTACGGGTACGAACTACAAAAGAATTTGCTCAATATTTTACCTCCTAACCAGCTGCGGCAAGAACAGACTCGGCATCCAATAATCACAACGGATTTGCAAGATCACATGAATGTCTCGGTGGGTGAAAAATGCCGAAGTCATTTTTGCATAGATTTTTATAACCAACTTCAAAGTTGTTCTCAGATAAATCTCTATCTTTGAAAACTCATCATTTCGAATTTATGATGTACTTTTTAAAGACATTACGGTTTTTTTCAAATTTTTATGTTATGTCGTCCTGATTGCTCGCATACAGAATAAACAATTCTTCAATAGCAAACAAAAATGCTATGAATTCTCCGAATTTTACCGTCCGCCGTTGTTTAACCATTAATAGTTGGGTCTCAGCCACTTTCTCTCCTGAAAAACTCTAATGTTAAATGGGTTAATCCCATTCAACTCGCATAGTTAAATGGGAAGCAGCGTGAAAGAGATGGAGGGGTAGGGAAGTGGCATGGTGCAGACGACGTTGTTTACTACAGTCACTGTGTGAGAGGGCGCTAGATGGCGCTCAGCGTTTGGCTGGGCTGGTTAGTGGTGTTTTCATTGCTGGGGGCTTGGCTCTATATTGGAAGTTTGGTAAGTCACATTTTTGTTAGTCTTGTCGTTCATTGGGTATTTGCTTGAGCATTATTTTTTGCTTAAAGTTTTCTCTTTGATCGTGTTAAAGTTATGAATCGGTGAACAATGATATTGTGTGCAGCAGCAGCAGCTGAGTTACTGGGCGTATCCTCTCTGCTGAGCAGCTGAGGCATGCCACTTGTAATCGAGCATTTCCGAAGCTATGTTGCTAGGGGCAATGGCTTTCATTCGGATTCACTGTTCGCATTGATACTTTTCACGTGTATTTTCCTCGGATTGACTTGACTGGATAAATTTTATTTATATTTATTATCGTATGTTTGCGAGTGCGGCGATGTTCGACGCCGGCGTGAGCCGTGAAAATCTATATTATACTATATAACACGCTTTGAAGCATTTGCCATTTGTAATTGAAACCAGAGGTTTTCTGATTGCAACGCTTCCATAGAATCAGATATGTGCAGCTCTCTGCGGACTATCTTTATGGAAACGGGATTCTGTAGATATCCATTGAGATCTGCAGTAATTTTAACTGTTTTCGATTGTCCTTCAACTGGTCTTTCGATAGTCCCTCAAAATTTGATTTAGCTTTTTTAGGTATAGACGGTCTCTCTCAGACAACTTGGAATTTCAGCTGTGCCTGTGCTTTGCTGAGTATGTTTTTCTTTCTCTTTCAAAAGCAGTCATTAATTTAGAGACAGTAGGTACCTCCAAAAACGTCGAGCATTCGGGAAATTTCTGTCACACAAGTACCTGTCATACGGGCATCAACAATTTGACCTCTTTGAAAGTCAGAGAGGTTTATTATTTATAAGTTACAGTTAGGGTATAGACACAAATATTTGCCAAAAAATATGTGCTAGGATAAAATATCAATTAACAGCAATATTAATCTATTAAACATAAAATATGTCACGTTTTCATTGTTTATAACATGTGCAATATTCTGTGTTTCCCTTACTATATTGTCCAACCCTTGTAAATAATTCCGTATGTTTCATAGTACTGAGCTTCTTCATTGAGATTTCACACCTATTTTTCGCATTTGCCTTCACCTTTTTTGAAAATTCCTTTCTCGATCGTAGTCTTAATTTTTCTTGCTTAACTACCTATTACTAAATAATATTATTTTGACAGAGTACAAGTGAACAAATGAAAACGGATAGATCAAGCTTCGACATTCCTGACCAAAGCAATGAAGCGGTGCTCCGCAACTCATCAGATGTAAAGCCTAACTTCAGCAGTAGCAGCAACAGCAGCACTCTGCCCAGCATTATTTACAGACCCAGTGGAAGGGAGCCATACATGAAGCATGCTAATGACCAGTCATACATTTCTGATGATTTTGATTCAACTCCAATCGTAAGTGTTCTTGATGTAGCAAGCATTATTTTACTGCATATTGACCGACGTTTATATTGAATTTCAACTTCTCAACTTGCTCTTTTCATCCTAAAGACTTGGTTGAAATTTGAACTTTTTCCTGAAAAAATATAAAGCTTTTATTCACTCGATCTTTTTCCGGTGTTGAAATAACCCATATTTATACCCAAAGTTTCAAATTATCGATAATTCCATGAACTTTCAACACTGGATCATTTTTTCTTTTAGAGCTTGAGCTTTATGTCTTTTATATTTCGACTTGGATTTTTCAGAAGATGAAAAAGCCTGCGCTCCGTAATAATGTAAGGGAGCCACTGAGAAGAGCAGCAGGAGACAGGTATATATTTGTACTGTTGACTCAAGATATATTTCGTGATTTATTCTTACATATTATTTCAAATGAAGTACTGAAATTTAAGATCGATGCAATCCCGTTTTTATCTTTGAAGAGCACTATGTGGAATCGCTCAGCTGACAGAAAAGAATTTAATAACCATAAGCAAGACCATCATTTCGATAACCAATTTTCATTGATATCTTTTGTCCTAAATCTTTTTTTTTATGTGCTCATGAATGTTCCACTTGAGCTTTCAAAATGATTTATCACATAAATTAAGGAAACAAAATTTTTTCATCTTGACTCTTGAGCCGTATTGTAAGATTTAGCGGTATTTTAAGGTGCATTTCATCTTGAACTCTGTTTTAAGGTACCTATATTATTTTCTGCCAAACAGCCTCTCTAGTGACTCGTCGGAAGACTGCGGTGAAGAGACAGACGATACCGCCGACCATCGCCGGCCTCATCACTTCCCTGGACGCATGCCTAACAAGAGGCGAGCACCGCAGCCGCCTGCAACTCCAAGAAGTAATGCCTCGAATGCCAGAAACGTGCCTTCACATAGAACGAGGTAATTTCCGCCACTTGCTTGGATCTTAAAAAGTGCGTATGTCGCTAGTTAGTCACAATTCTACGCGATAAACTATTTAAACTATGAATTCATTTATAATTTCATTTTCCATTTGAAAATCAGAAAGACTACCTGCATCAACTTGATCATTCTCCACATTCCATTTTTTTGGATTGAGGAAATTTTGGATTATGGAAGTCTTTCATGTATTTTTCTTTTTTATATAAGCGTATATTGGAGAAGACTTGTTGGGACTTCTGGCAATGAGCTCTAGTTGAACTTCTCAGCAGGACTATGAGAATATATAGATGTATGAAAATATGTTATATGTATATCTTCTAATAATGTATTCTACAAGGTTCTTTCCAAAACAATTTGGATTAAAAACTGTGTTTTTTTCAAAAACAGTTTTAAGGAAAATCAATTTTTTATTATTTATTAGGTTTTTACCTTCTGTACATCGTATCAATACTCAAAATAATACATTTTTTCCTGTTTGAAATAAAAAATTAGGTATTTATGTAATAAATCTACTGTTATCCCCAGAACCACGTTAAAAAGTACAATTTCAAGTCCGAGACGCGCTGTGAGCAACCAGCCGTCGTCGCGCAACACCACAGGCCGCAGCACGAACTGTGAGGAGAACGCCTCCAATGGACTCCTCATTCGGTCACCGTCCTACTATGAGAGCTACGCTCAGATGATGCACATCATTAGCCTTAATGTCGAGAATAAGGTGAGATGACACTGTATTGATTATGTAAATCATAGACAATAATGTTAAAAATCTTATGCACCACTGTTGCTACTGGTACATGCTTTTTAATATGATGCTATATATTCTAGTTACCTAGCTTGATTTCCACTTGCTATCTGATAGCTTAAATTTCTTTGTATCATGATTGGTTTTATTCATGAACTGTATTTACTATTATGCGACTTGCAGGTGTTGACAAATTTCTCTGATTTTGTTTCTCAGGACTTGCCACAGGATGATAAAGACGTATGTGGTTACTAATACTTGCATTTTTGTGTTACATTTGTGCACGTGCTTGTCAGTTTATATGTTGCAAATTTACTTGAATTTCATATTGGCTCGTGAATTTGCCACCTCTCGCTAACGTAACCGTTTCATTGTAGCTGATGACTTCATTCATCTTCATTCTAAAACCAGTATATATTTTTCTCGCAAATTTCCTAGGAAAATATGTAAATAATCAAAGATTGTGCATAGGATTGCACATAAGGCTCGCTAAATCGTTCTCAACGAATGAAATTTAAAATTTGTGGCTATCTAATTTATTAACAGAAGCAGCATCAGCAGCTGAATGCTGTGAGTCGAATCAATCAAGAACTGCTGGCTGATCTGAAAGCTCAACACGATTCTTTTGCATCATCTCTGGACACAATCATGGAGTCTCTTGTGGCCGGCATTATCAACAAAGAGGTTCCAGTATTTTTTATTCGTTTGCTGACTAATAATTTGATTTCACTAAGCACAATTGTAACTTCTAGGATTTGATAATGCTACTCCAATACCTACCTGGTAACTTTAATATGTTAATTTGTTTAAATATCTTGGCCTTTAATTGTTAATTTGTGTAGGTTTGTGTGCTGTTTCATTACTTGTGTTTGAAAATATATCAAATTGAAAATTTTTCATTCAACGAATGATCTTGATTAACTTTGAAAAGTAACTTTCAAAAATATTATCCTTTTTATTCATCATTGTTTTTTTTCTTTCAGCAATTGCGCAGCATGGTAACTGACCTACAAAAGAAAATGGCTCGTCTCAAGGCTAAGAACCAGGAAATTCCGCATTGCTCGGACTCTTGCTACTCTTCACTGCCACACAATCACTCGTCAGTCTCGAGCGCTCCTTGCACAGGATCTTTGCCTCTCATTCAGCCCAAGCACAGCAAGATGTTGTGTTCTTTCAAAGGCCCCAATTCAGATTTACCTGCGCCTCAAGAATCCTGTGAAACTACTTCTGGGGACCTCAACTACAAAATGACTCAACGAACATTACAATTTGAATGCACGGAATTACCTCAGAGATGCAAAGAGATTAAAAGTTGTGGACGTTTGCTAAGTTCCTCGGCTTCTTTGCCACAGCTCAATGCCATAAGTCTTCGAATGAGCGCTATGGCTGTTCGTGGCGATGAAGGCTACTGGACCATGGGTAGTCAAGTCCCTGGTTCCGAATCTAGATCAACGCTGCCCAGAACATCTAAAGTTCTTAACTCTAGTCACACTCATCAAGTCGTTGCGTCATCTAAAGTTCCAGACGCTACTGCCCTCCGTAGCTTAAGTTTTGTAAATAATTCTCGTACCTTGAAAACAGAGCCTCTTGATTCAATTAGGCTTTCAGAAGCGCCTGTTACCTCAGTCAATACGTCCAAGTGTGCGGGCGCCAAGTGGAGCACTGTCCCGCGTTTCTCAAGTGCCTCTCCATCCAAGTACCCACTGCCACCTAGCAAAACTCATCAGTCGATATGTCTGTCAGGAACCAAGTATCTGTCACCCATGGCATGCGATGGATTAGAACGCATCATCACTGATATCATTAAAGATATCTATGTTAAGCTTGTTCCGGAAACTGATACTCGTGCGAATATGGAGCTCTTGAATAAGGAGAAGTTTCCCATTAGATTATCATTTGTGGGGTCTCCTGAGGAGGCTTTGAAGGGACTCGCCAGAGGTGTTTATAACCTCAACTTCACACCTTGTGGAAATAACCAATGCTCAGTTTGCTCGGACATGGTCAGTCATGGCTCTTCCATTTTCGAGGTATTTTGGCCATGTCCTGAAGGTCGACGTTTACAACTTTTGCATATGACCAGAACTGATAATCGTACGCACTACATTCCTAGCCTTAATGATTCCGAGTCAGGCGACACAAGCACTTGTTCTCAAGGCACCGAGACCAGCACCACCACACTGGTGCCTAGCTTACCGTTCAATAAATGTGCATCTTCCGTAGATTCTCCTAGACTAAAATCGAGGGCTAGTGGCCCTATGCCTATGAACCGTATCGATGGTAGGTCTAACGTGTCTTTCACTTGCGAATCTGAAGCGTCGGGCAGTGTTGTACCACCAGGATATGACCCCGACTTCGTCGTGCCTGAAATGGAATGGTGTGGTGGCAGCTTCCAGCACCCAGACAAGTACTGGAGGGAGGTCAACGAGTTCTTGCCTGCCTCGGGAGTATCTCGTGAGTCACCGAGGTCGGGCTGCAGTGATCAACTTGCACTTTACCCCAACGATCTATCCTGTGGTTCGTTAAGAGGCAACATTTCTTCTAATTCTTCGAGAATCACCGATCTGGATTATCTGTCTGACCGTCTATCTGATCGCTTCCTTGATTTCCGGACAGGTTCTTGTCCAGACCTAACAAGCGACGGCTGCAGTGATCTATTGATGCCTGAAGGCGATATGGCAAGTCTGGAAAGTTGCAGTGAAGGGGACCTCATGTCTTTAGATTCAAGATTCGCCCAGTCTAGTCGAGCTTATTATTCTATCGTAGAGGTTGATGTAGATATGTTCAGCCCCACTCAACAACAAGGTGTTCTTCCGTCCCTACAATCTCTTTGTTATGGCCCCGCCTCTACCATGCTGGCTCATGACTCGCCACCTCCTTCCACTTCTCCTTTGCCTCCTCATCCTGAAGTCTCAGAGTCTATTTCCTGCTCTGAGTCATGCGACGATTTTCCCGACCCACCGTTCCCGGATCCCCCTGTAGAACAGCAAGCGCAGCCCGACGGCCAAAATGAGTATTTTTACGGACACACAGATATTTTTGCACCTACAAATCAAAGTACTCACTCCACTCGAGAAGTAGGTAAAGTACAATGCAATGGTTTTGTCGGGATTGACAGCTCTGAGCAGCCTTCTCCTAAGGAAACTACTGCTGAATCTTCTGCAGTGAAGACACCTTGCACAAAGCAAGCGAATTCATCAATAACCAAAGATGTCGGTCAGTGTGTGTACCCTCTACCACTAGGACCTTCAGTTCCCCCTCACTGTCACCCTGTAGATTCGCCAAGCATTCCAAAACGCGTGACGAGCCGCCCCCTGCCTAGCCTGCCACCACCCGGTGAAGTGATCGGTAGCGTTGGTTCTCCGACTGCTCAACAGCAAGCGGAATCTTCTGGCCAGGCAGTGTGTCAGTTGGCGGACTACACGATAGCTGAGCTTATCGAGTCTCCTTGTAGTTCTCCTCCACCGCCGGCATTGCCCATACGTGGAGGATGTACTCCTCTCCGCCCTAACGCTAGACTTGCTAACGGTAATCGCACCCTTCCCCAGGCGTGTGGTCACACAACCAGTGTGACTCGCTCTCCAACCATGAACCACTGCGTCCCAGCATTGCCGCCCGTCCTTATGCCTAATCTTCCACACATTTTACCTGCTATTGCCACACCTCCTCGTGCTCCACGACGATCCTCCTCACTCCTATGCAGCCGCAGTCGCCCTGTGAGCAGCGTCGACTACCAGTACTACGCTCAGCAACAATTTCAATTTGCTGCTGACGCCAATGACAATAAGAGAGATGGATGTGGGCCTTCAAGCAGTAACAGCAGCAGCCCGCAAGAAGGCTTAGAAAGCAGCTGGGTTCGACTCAACTCGGACGCCTTCAAAAACGTAAGCCTTTAATTACTGGCTAGATAGTCGTTGAGACGTGCAATTTCACAATGCAATAAAATGAAAATTTACCTCAAACCTCACATTTTAAACCTCTTAATTAAATTAATTTTAATTGAATTATGGTTCTACTGAGTGCGAATACTACATATATTGCTAATTCATCAGAACTAATGCGTCGAAAACATATTTTTGTTTTAAGTTTTTTATTTTGAGCGCCATGCAATTGCTGACATTTGATTCGCGTCACAGGGCGGCACGAGGGGCATGGGCTCTCCGGGCAGCGGAGAAGACAGCGCCAGCCTTCCCACCGGCACCACAACGCGGAAGATTAAAAAGGATAAAAAAGGTACATCTTCTTAGTGCATAGCTATTTGAAACAAACTTTTCCTGAGCATTAACCAGAACCAATAATAATAGCGATAGTGTTCGGCCTTATCGATGACAAAAGCACTTCATGGTAAAAACTGTTCTGTCAAAGTTTAATTTTTAGTCACACTCTTAATAGAAAATATGCCGCCACTTATTCTTTTAGCTCTTTCTTCTGTTTAACAGTTATTTTTAATATTTTACTCCGCAACGAAATGGATTTTAGGTATAGCGATGATACCCATACGCACTCACTCATTCAATAATAAACCTTAAATCACATCAATTTTTTATTGATAAAGTGTAGCTTCTAAAATATCAATAATTCATGTCTTCCTCATGTTTCTCTCTCCCTGGTACTGCGACCGCTTGATTTCGGGTTCATCTATGTACAGGTCGACATCAAGGCAACTGGTAAGAAATAGTATCTCTAATTTTCTAACTTTCATATGATAAATATATTAAAATCAACCAGATTTTTCCACCTTATTTGAGGAGACCCTGTATCGAAATCTTTGAACATTCTCACTCATAGTTATTAACGAGGAATCTTGCCACTTAACAATAATACGTGACTCCTTTGTTGGATTTTTTTTTATTTGAAAACCTTAAGATCGATCGATTCACTTGATTATACGATGAACGCAATGATATATAAATATGCATGGGGCATGATATTCTGAATTGTTGCTCTCTTTTCCAGCATATCGAGCATTCAGTGAAGAAAGGATCCGAATTTCTAGTGTGCCTTCTAGCAGTGGATAAATCTGCCTGTGCGCCGAGCTTCAGTCACGTCAACGTTAAATTTAATGCCAATGATTTTATACGTGAATACTTTCGACCTAAACTCAGTTCGATCTTAATATTCAAGAAAGGGTCGACTGCAAGTATATGCATGCTTTTTATGAGCTACATTTTGTGGTTTTCACACGACTTAGTGCAATTCTTTTAACACGAGAAGAGTTTCTATTACTACATTTTCGATTTTATTTTTTGTACTTTTATTTTATTGTTACTTCTTAAAAATTGTAACAGAGGCAACTTTCTTTCGATTGTGATGTTATATTTTCTGCATCCTTCTTAAAGAAAAGTATTGATGAACTGGAGATAATTCTAAAACTTGTAAATTCAAGCATTTTATTTATCAGACTATTTACTTTGAAAATGTTCAAAAACGTTACTCTGTAAAAAAAGAAACATTCGGATAGAGCGGAAAACTTAACAAACCCCGAGTTGTGCTATTTTCTCTTGATCACAAGTATCATAAGTAGCAAATTCTGTTTGTACCGTTGTGTGTTAAATTTTTGGTACAAGTTTTCTTAATATTTAAATTTAAATTTCAGCTGAAGGAAACGGATCTACGCTTTCGTGTTTTCAATCACATCGGCTAGAAAATTTGTAACTCTCCTTTATGTCGCACGAGGCTCTGAATCATAATACATGCGTTCATCTTATATTCAGAAAAGTTTACTCGAGTATAAACTCAAACTTGTAACTTTCAGTCCTCGAGATAAAATAATCTCGTCTAGTTTACTCTATTTAATGCGTCCATTTATATTACATAATTAGTGCGTAGATAATGCAATTCTTAAGTTATGTTTTGTGAACTTGGTATGGGATGCGAGACTGAGATAGTAACGTGCTTCAAATTTATGACTATGCCAAGATTTTCAATATCAATCATTACCTCAGTAGAAAAAATAACATTCCTGCCAAGTTTCAAGTCATGAAAATAGAAGTAGCGGTGGTGTGTTGAGTCCTGTATTTCGTATTGCAGTTCGCCTTATCGTTGTAGAGACATTCACTTGTTCGATTCCGTTATTCAGTTGGTCACGTTTGCTTTTCAACGGCGTTAACAAGCTGAGTGCATTGTCATGGATTATTTTTGTATCTGGGTCAGAACTGACGCACCAGCTGGCATTACTTTTAACGGCCATGAACTATTTCGGTGTCTCCTTTGTACTTTTCCTCGTCTTTCACCGGGGTTGAATTCCTGCCCATTAAACTTACATGTTGCTTTTTCCGTCCATCTCTATACTGGATACAAACCTTCGTATAAGTTTCGCAACTTGCAGTTTATCGCAGTTTTTTCATATACTACATTTACTACCATCAAATGAGCATACATTCATAGTTATTTTTTCACAACCTCCACATGCAAGAAAATTTCTGGTTTCATTTTTTTTTTGCCTTGAGAGTTTCTCACCAAGAAACATTGTCACATTAGTCAGAAACACTGCAATTCTGCATACAAACAACATTCATTTTCAGTGCTACATCGAAGAAAGATGGTTTACGGTTTGACTTCTAAAACTGTGATTTTTTGCCCTGTAATTCGAACATCGAATAACTCGGTTCAGTATCTTCATTTCATTTGTGTATTATAAAGTTTCGTGAACTGTGAATACGTTAGACTAGGAATCCAAGCTTCGAATTCCTCCAAGTTAAAGCTATATTGCTGATTTTTGCATTCCGCCCATGGAGATTTTTAAGATAAGGATAACACCTAAGCTATTGTGTATTGGGATTAACGGGATTTTGTTTGTACTGCCTGAATGTTGGGCACATGGATAGTTCTGAATGAATTATCAAGCTTTTATTACCTAGACTGCTATGCAACTCGTCATTTTCACTTAATCTCTGGAATATTTTGCCTATAAAATTCCTCGTCCATGATGAAACAAAATTATTTAAGAATGCTACATTTTATGTTCCGGGAAAGGAGGACCGTTTCTCTGCGATTTTTCCTGTACTCTTTTTGGCTTCTATGGCCTCACCGAGAACGCAACAAGGATTTCCTTCCGTGAGACTGAGGAAAATTCAGTCGTCCTACTTCCTATGTAGTGTAAACTGTGCGGGGCAATTCGAGTTTCCTATTTGCGGAGTAATGAAGTGCGTTAGTTGATTACCAAATAGCGCATGAGGAGCTTGATCATAGTTGACCTGATAGAGCTTTGGTGTGGAATAATGACGGTAGCTTCTTCAGTTTATGGAGCCTATCTCGTTTAGATATGGTTCAGAAAAAAGGGTGCTATGGTAATTTAAGATCAGTAGAAGGTGAAACTTAATCGTGAGGCGTCACTTCAGGATATTATCGTTTAAATTTGAAGAATTAACATTAGTATAACTTCTAAATCTCCAACCTGTTTGTCTTGAAATAATTCGTGTTCCTTGGCACTGCATAAGTCTTCTGCCATACCCATCCGTCTTTTCAATAATGCCGAAGCGTGTCAGAATATTTTGAGAACTCCAATCTGGCCAACAGTGGCGTCATTTACTTACTGAATCATACGTCCCAAGTTCCACTATTATTTCCACGCACAATAATTTCTTGAAACAATTATGTGTGCAAATAACTCAGTTCAAAGTAAGAGTTCAAATTAAGCTGCACAAGTTACTTCTACCTAGCATTCATTCATCAAGCTGGCTTGTTTTTTTTTTTAATTGAGCAGAAGGACGTATACTTCGTAGTCGACGTCTAGCTAGCATAAAATTTAGCTCGTATGCCTTTTGTATAGCATAACTTGTTTGCTCAGGTTGTCAGGATGTTCGCCTATACTCCAGGTGGTTTCCATTTCACTGTCATTAGTAATATATCAGTTTATATCCATTATTATGGAAGTCTGTGTTACCATACGAATTGAACCTTATCAGGCAGCTTTTGAAAAAGCTATATTTGTATTTTCAGTAGCGTATCTATTCAGTTAATATTGGCATTTTTCGATTGAACTTTTTTTCCAACTGCTTCTCTTGCCCTTCCGTCTTTTCTAACTCTTCATCGATTCAAAATATTCTAGGATTGCTTTGTATGGATTAGTTTGCAATTCTTTAAATATAATAAGATGATATTCTACTATTACTGGAACTCCCAATGTGTACGTGTTATTTATTTGTAGATAACTTGTCTAGCCATTAGAGTATCACCTTAAATAGATTTCGACAGTTTCCAATTGACTTTTATTTGCGGAATTGACTTTGTGAGAGAGAACGAATGAAGAGAAATCAAATTTTATATATTATGCATACAGTTATGACATTCATCGAAACGTAACACCAATCCTACACGAGAATTGTACCATGGTTTTGACATAATCCGATCAACTTTTCCATGGTAAATGACAGGTTTGCATGACACTGCCAGTAAAGAGGAAATTAAATGTCCTGATTAGCTGTATGTTCGGAGCGCGGAAACTGTTTGAACATCTCTAAATCGCCTCTCGAAGAGGAACAATCATTCGTAGCGTTCAACCGAAATTTATGAAGAAACAACGTGCGTATTACCAAAAAATTAGCTGTAAAAAATGATAGCTGTATGTTCTAAAGATTAGTTTGGAACCAATAGTTTTGGAAAATGAAAGTACGAAATTTATAGAACTCATCATTCTCTTTACTCATCAAACGAGGTCACCGATAATACAGTAGGCGGATTTCCTCGCAATGTCAGTCGTTCACTGCAGCACCTGAGGAGAAGGCGATCCATGCCTTAGTATTGAGGTCCTAGTACACAATATATATATCCACATCCAGACGAGGAGCCATCTATTGCGAACAATTGTCCAACATTCAGCCTACTGGCCAATTTTAAAAAAATTTTCACCAACACATTTTGCCTCATATACAATTTCACTTTCAGAAGTTATCTTAACTAGCCGCTTAACTTAACAAAAGTTATATCCATTTCTACTCGTTTTGTATTCATCAGCAATAAAGAATTTAGTGCACGTGCAGCGGCAGTCACACACCCGAAGTTTTGTTTCTGACAAACACAAAAGAAAGCATCGTCGCAATCACCTGTAGCTGCAGCAGCCAGTCAAGAGCATCTCCACAGCGCCAGCAGCAGCCAGTTAGAAGCCTCTAGGCACCACCTCCATCAGTGGTCGCAGTTTGCCAGGAATAACAGTTCACCATCAGCGCAACTTCGTCACGAGCATCTTCTCACAGTCTCGCATCCCATGTAAGAAACCGCATCCTACATGGGTGAAATAACAAAACTAGGAAATTGCAAACTAGATGAGCTCACAAAATGGTTCCCATATGACGCTTCTGACAATGAATCTGTAATTCTAATCCGAGAACAACCAGAAGAATTAATTCAGTTGAGCCAAATTTATTGACAAACGAAGCTACGTGTTTTCACTCCACGGCTGAAATTGCGACTTCTACGTTTCTAATATCTCACCTGTTAAGAAATTTTCGTTGCAGATAACCAGTGTAGAATGCATCGTTTTCCCTCTGAACTTGAGCCGCATTACTAGCAGGTGATCCTTCATCGCGCATCATCTGGTAGGTATATGTAATGACATGCAAATTAACAATAATAAAATTGATAATAAAAAAACTACACTGCTGCCATTTACACAGTTCGCGTTCATACATCGATCATTTCAAATTTCACGTCATTGAAATTAATGCTATGATATTGAGCAATTACGAAACGTTCAGCTGTGTTTTCCAAACGTCGTCACTGGCACCAGTTAAAATAGACTGCAGCAGGAAGAGCACTTCTAGATGGTTGAAGCGACGATGGCACGACTTCGAACTGCATAATAAGAAACTCGAAAAAAATTGTTCAACAGTAATTAAGCGACCCAGACTTCAACGGAATGGCGATGGTAGAAGACGTAATATGAATTAAAGTCCCAATACTTTGAAAACAGGAGCAACGATATCGTTACAAAAAAAAAAATGATTATTTCAAGGTTTACAATTGGAAATTCGTCGTTAAATGTTCAGCCATGGAAGAGTGCTGAAGATGAGCAGCTACAGTATAGAATACTTGAGACGAAAAATTTTTTACACGTCCGGTGAGAGTTCAGCGATGAGTGTCCGAAACATGATTAAGAGAAAGCTCTTCCGATTAGCTTCAGTTTCATGAAAGACGATTAATGTTAAATTTCTCGTTGTAAGCGTGACAGTCCTGAACACAGCGCAGCCCAGTGTTACCAGACAAGCAACACACAATTTCAGTCCTTTTGACGTGCGCAACGATTTCTGCGAAAGGGAAAAGGACAGGAGAAACAGAATCAAATGCAGTTATTAGCTATCGATATAGAGGCAACTTCTAAGCTAGCAAAGAAAGGTAAGCTAGCAACCGGATATGACAAACAAAAATATTTTTTATTGTATCAATATCTGAGAGGAAAAACTTCCTGGAAACTTTTGTAGCCGTTGCGATTCTAGATGCTTGCGCAGCCAACGACCAGTCCTGATTATGGAATACGACCAGACCACAATAGCCTGCTAATGTCTATCTTCAATGATAATCGGCGAAGTCGACGTTGCTGGACACCAAAATAGTTTTTTTTTTTTTCAAAGCAAGAGATGCAAACGGGTCATTCGGAGCCTCCAATAACGTACTCGGAGTTCGAAGCCGCATTATTCCTGAAGAGCAAAGTAACGAACTTCATAAAAATAGGTACGGCAATGCGAGAAAAAAAATCGCAACCCGTAGCAGATACGACTACAAGTCCATAGTTGTTACATTAACTAACAGTCACTGCCACATTACGGTACAACGGGTTTATATTTGAAAAAAATCGGATGCCTATGCAACAGAGAGATATAACGATAAAATCTTGTCAGACCATTGTTAAAGCATGTGATTTTACACTTAAACCCCTCCACATATGCAATTAACAATTTCAATACGTTGAAATAAACTATTTTCTTCAAGTTAGGTTCCATTATTAGGATTGATGCAGGAATATCAAACCACGGCAGCCAATGATACTAAGCTGACTGTGCGAGATGTAGACACTGCGATCTTGACATCATTGAAGAACCAATGCGGAGTGCGGAGATTGTAGAGGTTTGCTGACGAGTTCCGTCTACAAGGAGTAAGTCGCTTCAAAGCGTCATGTGGGGGACGCATCAGTTGCATGTGATGGAAAATTATTTTCATTCGCGCCAAGGCGCAAATCTTGCGTGACAACCGAATGCACTGCCATAACCTGTGAATAAGTCAACGGCCCAAGAAAGAATACATGGGAAAATTTATTGAAAATTTACAATATTATTTCATTGCACGTCATAACTTTATAGAAACTTTGTACTTTATCTCACAACACTGAGCTCACTAGGTTCAAGTAAGTTCCAGGAAGCGCTAAACTCAAAATAATCTCAGAGATACTGTAAATACTCAGCGGAAACCGAGATTATTTGGAGAAAAGTATCCCATCACACGCTATCCCACAACGCGAGTGAGATGAGAAAATCGTTGATAGAAGAAAATATTTAAAAACTGAGTACGCGTCAGGACATGTGCTGAGAGACGAGTCGTTCGATATCGATTTCCAATAGCGACAGATTCCCTCCACGGATAACTCGCCGCAGCGAGCGATATGCACAAGGTCAAACCGAGAAGCATGCCAGAGCTACCGGTGAGTGATCTGAGGAGCAAGTAGCACAGATTAAATTACACCGCTTCACTCAATTGTCTTGGACGAAGCAACAAACATAAGTACAATTTATTCCACCCATCAAGTTTGATGCTATATTTTCGGCTAGTTTTGAAACGAACACGACAAAAAGTTTAAATGTATGACAATTAGTATAATAAAACTGAACCTAGCAATCGTAGAAATGACGATGCAGAGTAAATAACAATTTATTCAAGTAGGCAAGTATTGATTCGCCATTACGGTCGGTCACGCATATGAGCAAATGCAATCTTCGACGATACAGAATATGATATGCCGTATACTTGGTGAGCGGACTGTGGCCGACTGCAATGGCATCCCAAACCTCCATAACCAGAGTCTGGAAGGTGCGCCGCAACCCAGACGTCCGCACCGGAGACTGGAAGGCGCGCTGCAACCAAGACGTCCGCACCGGAGTCTGGAAGGCGCGCTGCAACCAAGACGTCCGCACCGGAGTCTGGAAGGCACGCCGCAACCCAGACGTCCGCACCGGAATCTGGAAGGCGCGCCGCAACCCAGACGTCCGCACCGAAGTCTGGAAGGCGCGCCGCAACCCAGACGTTAAGACGTCCGCACCGGAGTCTGGAAGGCGCGCCGCAACCCAGACGTCCGCATCGGAGTCTGAAAGGCGCGCCGCAACCCAGACGTCCGCACCGGAGACTGGAAGCCGCGCTGCAACCAAGACGTCCGCACCTGAGTCTGGAAGGCACGCCGCAACCCAGACGTCCGCACCGGAGTCTGGAAGGCGCGCCGCAACCCAGACGTCCGCACAGGAGGCTGGAAGGCGCGCCGCAACCCAGACGTCCGCACAGGAGGCTGGAAGGCGCGCAGCAACCCAGACGTCCGCACCGGAGTCTGGAAGGCGCGTAGCATCCCAGACGTCCGCACCGGAGTCTGGAAGGCGCGCAGCAACCCAGACGTCCGCACCGGAGTCTGGAAGGCGCGCCGCAACCCAGACGTCCGCACCTGAGTCTGGAAGGCGCGCCGCAACCCAGACGTCCGCACCGGTATCTAGAAGGCGCGCCGAAACCCAGACATCTGCACCGGAGTCTGGAAGGCAGGCCGAAACCCAGACGTCCGCACCGGAGTCTGGAAGGCGCGCAGCAACCCAGACGTCCGCACCGGAGTCTGGAAGGCGCGCCGCAACCCAGACGTCCGCACGGAGTCTGGAAGGCGCGCCGCAACCCAGACGTCCGCACCGGAGACTGGAAGGCGCGCTGCAACCCAGACGTCCGCACAGGAGGCTGGAAGGCGCGCAGCAACACAGATGTCCGCACAGGAGGCTGGAAGGCGCGCAGCAACACAGATGTCAGCACCGGAGGCTGGAAGGCGCGCAGCCACCCAAACGTCTGCACCGGAGTCTGGAAGGCGCACCGCAACCCAGTTGTCCGCGCATGGGTCTAGGAGTAACGCTGTCTAAACAGCCTATCATCTGCAACGTCCATAAAGGGAACCGCAAAGAGAAGCTGACACTTGCCAGCGGTCCAGCAATCAAGAAAGAGCTAATAATGTAACTAATCACGCTACAGCAAAGTACTCGAGAAAAGAGAGCATATCATGCTAATGAGTATTAAAACGCGGGGCAAATTTCAAGAATTTGCAAAAAATAAAAACCAAGTGCAATAGCTAAGATTCGAGCCAAAATAATTAAGCAGGAGGTATATATCATCAATAATATCTGTTTGAACATATACGTTTTGTTTGAAAATACAAGACTGCAATAAGTTAAAGTCATAATTCAGATAAAAAAAAAACGTTTTGTTGGAAAGTTCTCAGAGCGTGCTGTCGAGATGAGCAATATGGTAAGTAGAATGCAGCACAACTAAAGGTCACCAGTTTGCACAATCTCCACTTTGATGCCGGAGTTTGCAGCTGTCGAGGCGAATACAGTCAACATCCGTAGCAGCACGCGATCAAACGGATGCAAATAACGAAGAATCGTGCTGCAGGGCCAAGAAAAGAAAACAGGAAATGCAATGCCTATATCCAAAGCCTAAAACCGAACGTGGAATACGTTAATGCTAAACGACTCCAATCACGTATGAACGCCCGTCAATATTTTCTTATCATCAACTATCTGCAATTTTATAAGTAAAATAATCAAGAATGAAGCAGCAACGCCAACATACCACCAAATCTGATATCAGAATCATATGACAAGTTGACTGTGCAATGTTGTAAAATTGGATGGTAAAAATTAAACCAATTGCGGCTATTTTAGGGGGGCGAATTAAAGCTTGGGCGATTCGTAGCAGCATCGTGATATGCAGATCTGATCTGCCGAGACGTTCTGGTGACAAACCATGACGCTGACTTCAACTCTAGTGGTATTCAGGCATGGCTGCGATCGTCACACTTCCTGTAGGTAAACCAGCACTACAACAGAAGGCAAGATCAATGCGGAATTTTAACCAATTTAAGCACGCTAGGAGGCAAACTACCTAAATATTAATAAAAGACATCGATTACGTAATATAACGACTATGGTAATACGATATAACAAAAAGTCTTATTATAACACTCTTGTGTCACGCCAAGAACAAAGCCACATAAAACCAATATTGCCTGATACCGGTCGACGTCTTGCATCCCCAACAGGGCTGCGCTGAGATTTGGCAAACCAACCGTCCTTTGCGACGGAGACGCGAACGCAATGCTCGAAATCTGGTCACAAAGATCCAAGAAGGGCAATCGAAGGAACCGTTGGAAGTTGTGCCAGACCGGGGACCAAGGCAGGCAGGCCGCATGCGTTCTCTGGAAGGCGCAGCAGGCAGGTCTCAGCCCGCACGCGTCGTTTCGAAGGCGCAGCAGGCAGGTCTCAGCCCGCACGCGTCGTCTCGAANCGTCGTCTGGAAGGCGCTGCAGCCATGCAGCCACGCGTGTCGTCTGCAAAACGCTGCAGCCATGCAGCCACGCGTGTCGTCTGGAAGGCGCTGCAGCCATGCAGCCATGCGTGTCGTTTGGAGACTTGAAAGCACTGCAGCCAGGCAACCCGCACGAGGAGTCTCGAAGGCGCGACAGAAATCTAAGTTCCACATATTTTTTTCAGTCGGGGGTTTCGCTTTAGCTCGAAACGAATGCAATATAACAGCAAATTTAGCATAATCATTTTAATGCATAAACCAAAAAACATTGTTCTAATCCGAAGAAATTGAGGCCCTCTTTGAAATGTGTTCATATAATCAATGCACAATTGATAGTGATTTATAAAAGTTAAACGCAGATAAAATAAAGAACGCTGTACCGGCATTAACGCAAAAGGTTATTTTTATTAGTCAAGAAGCACTGCGATTCAAACAAGCTGATAACGTCATATCATAAAAAATCAATGTCACACCACAAGCATGTATGGGAAGTTGCAGAATATCTATTAAAACCATATCTTAAAAAGAATTCATAAGACAAGGACGTTCACTTCACAAGGAAATACCAGAGAGTCTGCAGATTAGACGGCAGCTGAGGCATGGTGGCAAGGTACGTTGGTCTCGCTCGGGTGGCACAAACCTTCGTCATCAACTCCTGAAGAGCATCATAGGATCCGCGCACAAAGCAAATTGTAGACGAAGAGTATTGACAGAACAACATTATCTTGCACTAAACTTCGAATCGTGCAGTTTCGTAATTCAACGAGCTTTATTTCAAAGCTAGACTACATTATTGCGCAACAATGTGATAATTTCAATCTTGAAACACACATTTCATAAAAACGGTGATAGTAATCAGTCGCAAAAAATTAAATATATCAAATCAATCAAATCTACTAATGTGCATCCTGAGCTGCATTTGATCAAGTAGATAGTGTGAGTAGCGCTTCTGATGCGCTGCAACAATTCCAGGACACTTCATCCGGGATTCTGAGCCGGAGAGCTGCCCCGCTTTTGTGGAAAACACTCAAGACTCTCGCCAACCCTAGGCTTCGAACTGCAACAGCGCCACGATAATGCACTTTATTCAGGATCTATCGATCATAAAGTTTAACACAGTCAAACACAAAATTTTTCGTTAATACAGAGTATACGACAATGAATGTAAATAAAAACTAATATAATCAAATTTTCCATCATTTGATTGATTACAGAACCCTAATAAAATAACATGATTAAAACTGTGGACCCGAATCACCATACCGAGTAAACCAAATGCCATGCCATTGTAACAAACCCAAGCGAAGAGAAAAATCGCACAGCACACAGCGTAGATGATGCGCAGCTCCGTCAATGCGGACATCTTATCCGTCATTCCTTAGGCCTGTCAAAATTGTATGGAAACGCGCGCATAGACGTGACATTCGTAATAAATCAATAAGCTTTCAGCTCTGCTCAATTATGTAAGCTAAGTTGTTATGTACGCAAGGTCGGTCACAATTACTTAATTCATGGACAACAAACAATACCTGGAGCGATTCGGATCTCGGGAGTGATGGGAAGGTCGTCGCCGTTTCGATCCAGATCACTAGCTTATAGAGACAGCAGACACCTAGAACAAAGTCTACACGCGGGGTCCCTTAGTTTACGCGGAGCAATTCCAACGAAGGAACCACTATAGCCAATTGGAATCGAACAAAATAACAAATAGAATCGATTCTAAAGCGAAGACAATTGACTGCACGGTGGAGCACTGCCATAAGTAAGTGCAAGTCAAAGTATGTAACAACAAACTTCAAGATAATCGCACTTTAAGCAGAAGGTAGGTAAAGAAATTATACAACCTGCTGCAATAGACTTACAATTGAGGAACAGAAATGCATTATAACATGAATACTTGGATATTGATATTTATTTGATAATATAAAAGGTATCGTGCAGGCTAGTGTAACATTGGAACTAGCTCATCACGATCCAACTAAGCTTAGCCCACCGACGATGAAGTGGCGGCGCTGAGATCGCTTTTGGCGGGATGAATTGCTGGTCCTGGAAGCCAAATCCCCGCCAGCGCTCAAGGGAGGGCAAAGTATAATCGCAACGCAAGAGTAGACCGCTTTACGGACGCGATTATTTTCTAGCGGACGCGATGAGCCGTAGAGAATAAACGCGCATCTGTCGGTATTGGGGTTAGCACATACGCACCAATTATGAGTCTCAAAAAGAATTACTGGTTATGAATATAACAAAAGGTTCCCACGTTTTACAATTTTTAATTTAGAACAGTGGACATTAATATATGTAACACTCAAAAAATTCCATTCACTACTGCACGAAATCAAAATACTTTTTGATACCAGGAATTGCGACATGAACGTAATAATTATATATATTGCATATGAAATTGTGATATGAACGTAAATATTGCACTATAGAAGATTCAACATCAAAACGGTTACGGTGACGAATACGAATAAGAATTTTCATCTGGGCGACAGAGGGGGCAGTATTCGTGCAGCAAATGAAGGAAGACCAGAAAGCATGGCTTGCAGTCCTCGCCAGGAGTGGGCACCTCACGGCCAAGTGTAGCGCACAAACCTGCACCACAAACGCTCTCTCCGCGCATTCATGGCTTTAACA